TATATTCTTCTCAGCAATGACCACCATCCAACATACTGCCCATTTTTCACTGGTTTATTGTCTGCCTGCCCCCCCCCCCCAGCAGTAGGGGATTCCCTCGTAGCTCAGTTGGTAAAGAATCTGCCTGCGATGCAGGAGATCTGAGTTTGATTTCTGGGTCAGAAAGATCCCCTGGAGAAGGAAATGGCAACCCACTCCAGTATTCTTGCCTGTAGAATCCCATGGACAGAGAAGCCTGGCAGGCTACCGTCCATGGGGTCGCAAAAGTCAGACACTGACTTAGTGACTAAACCACCAACATCCAATGATAGGCTACAAGTTCCGTAGACGTAGGGTATTTTGTCTGTTTTTGTTCATCGCCATATGCCCAGCACAAGTGCCCGGAGATATAAACTCTCAAAAATATTTACAAACTGGAGGGATGAGCAAGTGGCCCTCTCCTCCAGGAAGCTGCACAAGAACATCAAACATCACCTGTTCTCACCTGGAATCAGCACCTGCCCCACAGAAACTCCTCTGGTGTTCTCTGAGCATCCTCCTCTGCTTCCTCCCAATCCCGCATTCAACCAACCCTGATTCTGACAGTTTCACCTCGTGTTTCTTAATCCCTCTTCTTTCTATCCCGCCTCATTTCACTCATTGACTCTGCAGGAACTTCCCACCTGGACTTTCTACCTCTGGAATCTCTGCTCCCTCCCCTTCCCCAATCCATCCCTGGTACAGCTGTCAGTGACTATTTTTATTGTTTAATAATTATATCAAATTAATTGGAAGCATACACTCAGCTTTAGTATCCTTATTTTTAGTTTGGTTTTACTTTTCTTTATCACTTGAAACATTTCAAGTCTACAAACAGCTGAAAGAATGAATTTTCAAATACCCTACACCAGATTTACCAATTGGTAACATGTTACCATACTTCCTTTCTCTCTTTCTCCCCACTTCTTGCCTCCGTCCTTACACACACACACACACACACACACACACACACACAGCTCTTCAGCCCTAAATACTTCATCATGCATCTCTTAAGGACGAGGACATCCTCCTGTATAATCACAATGCCATTATCACACCTAAGAAAAATAAGAGAAAGGCCAAGAAGAAGACCCAAGCCCTCTGCTTTTAGCCTCGGCCTTTCTCTTGCCTTCACAACAAGGACACCCAGAACTTCATCCTCTGCACCTCTGTGAGCTTTCCTAGACTGAGTGACTTCTGTGTTGTGGTTCCCCTATAGTACTAGTCAAGCCTTGAGCATTCAGAGCACATAGGCCTGACTATAGCATGGCAAGAAAGAGGCAGCTGTCACCTCACTGTCAGTGTTGGAAGGAGGGAATCTCTAGAAAAGGCCCCGAATGGTGGCAAGGAGGATCTTGCATGGGGAGTTGTTTACCAGATGCCAGAGTTTGGGGCTGCGGCCAAATCTGGAAAGAATGTTTTGAGACCTGGCAGTTGCTAAGGGGATTAGCTCTGCCTTGGAAGAAAAGGCAAAACTGGGAAGGACTCCAGAAAAGTATTCCAAAAATCAGAGCCCATAAGTTTTATTTTACATGCCAACTCTAATCAGTTGGTAGGAGCTTTCAGAATTGATAAATGGAGATGGCGTCTAAAGCCATCACCAGACTCAGAAAAAGAAAGAAAGAGAGAGAGAGGAAAGAAGGAAGAAAGAAAGAAAGAAAGAAAAAGAGAGCACTGTGATTGATTAATCATGTCTGACATGGGTTCAGGTAAAGAGCAATGGGAAAGGACCTGGGAATCAAAAGGAAGATAAAAGTGAGGGCTCCTAAAATGTACTTTTGAATGACTTAAATCCAGCAGAGTATATACCTGAGTGGAAACAACACAGGCTTTGTGACTTTGAATCCTGGTTCTGCCTCATTTCTTACTGTGTAATCTTGGGCAATTTACAAAACCCAATCTGTGAAATGGGACTGTTTTGCAGATTAGATGAAATAATGCATTACAAAGATAATAGGAAACACATAGTAATTTCCATGAGCCAGACATTGCTCTAAGACCTTTGCATGTAAATAAATTAATTTGATTCCCACAACAACCCTGTAAGTTTATTCTTCCCAGTTTATCCCAGAAAACTGAATCTCAGAGAGGTTAAGAGACCTGTCAAGAAGATCTGTGATTTCACAGAATTCTGTAAGACTCGACTCTGAAGTTCACAGGTGCATAAAACACAGTCGGTAGGAAAATTCAGCTTAAACCAGGCAGGCTACAGAGTCATCAACAGGACAGGAGCATGGGTTCACTTGAAGAGAAAAAGGACAAAACCAGGACTCAGGAATCTGACCTTCAACAAGATACCCCTGACCTTTTTACATTTTGCCAGAGCATGAAGGTCTTACTCCAGATCCACCAAAATACACTGGGTAGGGAAGTCATCATTTTGCAGAGGACCCATCCTGCTTTCACCTGCGTTGGATTCAAGCATTCTTTACAACATGGCCTTAGCTCAGGTGTTGACAAACTACAGCCAGATCCTGCCCATCACTGTTTTTTTTTTTTTTAAATAACGTTTTGTGGGAACATAGTCAGGCTTATTCTTTGATGTTGATGTTTGATGTTTTTTCCATGGCCGATTCCACACTACTTCCGCAGAACAGAGCCATCGTGATGGAGACCACCTGGCCTGTGAAGCCCCTTATATGGCCCTTTGCAATGAACATTTGCTGATTCCTGCTGCCCATCTTAGGCCAGACTTTGTACATATCCATATGTCAGGTATGACCAATCATCCTGGGTGTTCGCCAGGGGAGGTAGGAAGTAGGACATGCATAAAAGGAACTGAGATAAAAACAGGTGTGGGCAGAAGAGGATATTGCAAGTCTTCCCTGGAAGTCCAGGGGTTAACGCTCCATGTGGCCATTGCAGGGGACACAGGTTCAATACCTGGTCGAGGAACTAAGATCATGCCATGTGGCATGGCCCCAAAATAAAAATTAAATTAAAAAATAGTATATTGCAGAGAAATAACACGTTAAGCTATGTGATGTGATAAAATGGCTCAGCATCAACTGGGAAGTACAGTGTTAAGCAAACAAGCATATTTCTGCGGAGCTTCTTAGGACTTTTAAAATGCCATCATGACTTGAGCGTGCTGAAAGAAGGATATGGCTCACAGGACATATTTTCCTCATGGGACTATCTTCTTTGGAACATTCTTTGGCAGATGCTGAAATAAAAGACGTCTTTAGAATCAAGCTCCCTGGGAACTAGGAATGAAACGGTGAGGGCTGTGGCTTGATGAGCATGTCTTTCTCTCAGCGAGGGAAGAGGCAGGAGAACTAAAGAGAGGCAGAGTGGAAGAAAGAAGGAGAGGTGTTCGAAGAGAAGGAAGAATGCTGGGCCCTGGACAGACAACTTGGGTGGATGTGAGGAACACCTGGCGACTGGACTATTGGTGGGAACCGTGTATCCAAAGCAGGGCTATGGCCCAGTGCAGGATGTGTGGTCACTTTCACCACCCTCAGCATCATCATCAGCACCACTAGAGAAGCTTCCCTCCACCCCCGAGGGCTCACTACTCTGTGGATCCCGCATTCTGTCCTTCCAGACACACGAAAGTAAAAGTGTTAGTCACTTGTCACTCGACAAAGCTCTGGTGCTTCCCTGCTGGCTCAGCTGGTAAAGACTCTGCCTGCAATGCAGGAGACCTGGGTTTGATCCCTCGGTTGGGAAGATCCCCTGGAGAAGCGAATGACTACCAACTGCAGTATTCTTGCCTGGAGAACCCCATGGACAGAGTAGCCTGGCAGGCTACAGTCCATGAAGTCGCAGAGTCAGACATGACTGAGCGACTGCCAGTGCAGCAGACTCTGGAGACATGGGTTCAATCCCCAGGTCAGGAAGATACCCTGGAATATATTCTTGCCTGGAAAAGTCTACACACAGAGGAACATGGACAGCCCGTGGGGCCACAAAGAATTGGACACAACTGAGAGACGGAGCACACAACACCTTCACGCACACGATGTCGCTTAATTCCTCTTTTACAAATAGGAAGAGCTGCCCAGAGTCAAAGCTTGTAAGTGGCAGTGCCAAGACTCGTCTCTGTGAGTCAGACCCCAGAGCCATGTTCTCACCACTGCCCTGCACAGCTCTGAGTGAGAGGGAGACCCAGAATTCCATCATGCAGCATGCAAAAGCATTCCGTGTATGGATGCAACACCAAAACATTCAGAGGAAAAGAAAAACAAACCAGTGCCGCTTGGGATATTTGGCTGCACAGGCCCAAACAGCTAGGGACTGCCTCTTCCACAGCACATGCAGATGTTTGCATATCATATTTTCATCTTCTCTTTTTCCTCTTATATTAAGTATCCCTTCTTAACTTATGTCATAAGTTACATATCAGTCTTTATCAGGCTTAGCCAATGTATTATTCTTGCTCATAAAGTGAACATAAAACGACATTTTTTGAACATTAAAAAGCATTTTTCAGCCTGAACACTATGACTACTGTATTTACAACAAGACTTATTTAGATTTCATATGATTGCTACTACTTTGCAGGGAAAGGGGCGGGGGGGCGTGGGGCCCTCAGAACAGCTTCCTAGGACGGATTCCGAAAACATGATTCATAACTCAATTAAATCTTTTGTGGCTCAAAAACATACCTGCCTTAAATGCTAGCATTTATCAAGTCCTAGCTAACCGATGATTAGCTAGCTGATTTCCACACTGAAAATATGAGGAAAACAGTAAATCAACACTTTTTGGCGGATAGGGAGATGGAGATAAATCCAGGTCTGGAAAAGCAAGGCAGGATGTGAAAAACTTGCACACTATTTTGGATTTGCGGCGATGGCAAAAAAAATGAAGATTCCGCTGGCATGCTACAAACATCAGCTGGGGGCGCCTGAAGGCTGTTTGCGTGGGACAGTCCACCTCAGATCTACTTTCTCGCATCTACAGCAAAATAAAGGACAGCTGGCAGCAGGCCAGAGTGAAATAGACAGGCTGTCCCCCTGTTGTAAATTTCTGTTTACCTGGTGAGCAGTGAGAGCAGGGTTCTGGGTTCTTCCGTCCAAAGAGCTGCAGGGCAGGGCGTTCAAATCGTGGCTGGCCCCAGGGTACTGCCCCTCATCGTGCTTCAGCTGCTTCTAAGATCCCATTGGAAATCTCACAGGGCTGGAGAGCCTCGAGGCCAATATTCCGTTTCCAAGAGAGTCCTGCTCCCCCACTGCACCTCCCTTGCTTGCGTCGACTTTGGAGCGGGTCGGGTTTCTTCCACCCCTGCTCCAAGCAGCTGGGAATCCAGGCGCTGTGCTGGCCGAGTGAGGAGGCCCCTGAAACCACTTCCAGATGTGCTTGGCTGGCTGGCTCCGATGGGCCAGACTTCCTTTTGCAGCCTCCTCCGGCAGCCCGCAAATCATTTTGAAAACAAGGCTGCTATGGAGGTAAAGATGCAAAACTGGAGAAAAGCAGAAGCTTGGAGGGTGAATTTCCACCATACATTGGGTCTCAGGTAAATGTTGAGAGAGCAGAAGTGAAGAAGTTAAGTGCATACCAATTTTAAGACTGTTTTCATGACCACTAGCTTCGCCTGAAATGCCCTCGTCATTAGAATGCTTTCGTCTCCAAGTCAAAACCCAGATAACAACTGTGGTCTCCTCTGCCAAGGCAATGATGGTGACAGAAAGTTTCTAGATGGCGTGTTTTGCGCCTGAACATGGAGAGGAATCAGGCAGTGCGTCAGCCCCACCCAGTTCTGTGCTGTTCTGCGTTCCTGCCATTTATTCTCAGAAACCCAGGAAACCGTGCCAGCGCTTTGCCTGGGATCATGGAATGTAATCGGCAGTGGTTTCTCTCCCTAGTTCCTACAAGGAAATGAGTCTGTCTCTGCTCTGCTCACTGCCTCTGTCTAAAATGATATTGCCCAACAGAAATGTAATGCAAGCCACATTGCCATTTAAAATTTTCCAGTAGTCGCTTTAAGAAAAATATTGTGTCCACAAGTCTGTTCTCTATGTCAGCGGCGTCTCCACTGCTGTCCTGCAAAAAGGTTCATCAGTACCATCTTTCTAGATTCCATGTATGTGTGCTAATACAGTGGGGGAAGGTGGAGGAGGGACAAATGGAAAGAGTAAGAATGAAAAATATACATTACCACATGTAAAATAGATAGCCAAGGGGAATTTGCTGTATTAAACCTGGTACTCTGTGACGCCTAGAGGGGTGGGCTAGGATGGGAGGTGGGAAGGATGTCCAAGAGGGAGGGGACATACGTATACCGATGGCTGATTCATGTTGATGTAAAGCAGAAACTAACACAATATTGTAAAGCCATGAGCTTCCAACTAAAAGTAAATTAAAAAATAAAAGCTCTTAGTTTAAAAAAAGTATAGTGAAGTAAGTCAGAGAAAAACAAATGTTGTATAACAACGCATATAGAGATGCCGACGTAGAGAACGGACTTGTGGACACAGCGGGGGAAGGAAAGAGTGGGATGAACTGAGAGAATAGCACTGACACATATGCACTACCATGTGTGAAATAGACAGCTGGTGGAAGCCGCCACATTGCATAGGGAGTTCAGCCTGGTGCTCTATGATGACCGAGAGCGGTGGCATGTGATGGGGGAGTGGGAGCTAGGTGTAAGAGGGAGGGGATCTATGTGTACGTATAGCTGATTCTGTTGCAAAGCAGAAACGAACATAACACTGTAATGCAGTTATCCTCCCATTTAAAAATAAAGCGTTTAAAAAAATCCTTCACAAAAAAGAAAAACACAAAGAGGTCAAATTAATTCTAATGATACATTTTATTTAACTCAATATATTAAAAATATTATTTCAACATTTAATTGGCATAAAACTTCTTAACAAGACATTTTACACTTTTTGTTTTGTGTGAAACCTTGAAAATCTGGTGTGTCTTTTACATTTGCAACACGTCTCAATTCCAACACTAAATTTCATCAGAAACAACTGACATGGATTTAGATTTTGTAAAATTTACGATTTAAAAAACAGGTTTGCATGCTCAGGTTGCTCCCAACACACTTCAAACTTTTCCAGTAACTGGATCATGAATCAGTTTTTCAACTGAAATTGATTAAGACTGGGTACAAGTTAAAATTCAGTTCCTCAGTGGCAATAGTTGCATTTTAAGTTCACTAGCCAGTGTTGCTAGTGGCTACTGTAATGAACACTGTGGCTCTGAAAGATTTAGTGGGGTCTGGTTTCAGACTTGAACTTGCAGAGTCAGAGTATCTAGACCAGCTTCCATTTGTATAGAACTTCGAACACTAACAAAGCATTTTCGTATCTTCTATTTTGTTTTATCTGCATAATGTTCTTGTTAGGTAAGTTGAACAGATGTTTTTTGCCCAGCCTGCAGATGAGCAAGCTGAGCCTTTGAGCTAGTTAAAGTCAAAGTTCCCATAGCAATATAGTAATGAAGCAGGGGCTGGAATTTCTGTTCAGCGCTTTGCAACTGTTTCTTACTTGAGGAGTGTTTCAAATACTAGGCTTTGGGGCAGCAGTTCTGTTCAGTTCAGTTCAGTCGCTCAGTTGTGTCCGACTCTTTGCGACCCCATGAACTGCAGCACGCCAGGCCTCCCTGTCCATCATCAAGTGCCAGAGTCCACCCAAACCCATGTCCATTGAGTCGGTGATGTCATCCAATCATCTTATTCTCTGTCATCCCCTTCTCCTGCCCTCAATCTTTCCCAGCATCAGGGTCTTTTCAAATGAGTCAGCTCTTCGTATCAGGTGGCCAAAGTATTGGAGTTTCAGCTTCAACATCAGTCCTTCCAATGAACACTCAGGACTGATCTCCTTTAGGATGGACTGGTTGGATCTCCTTGCAGCCCAGGGGACTCTCAACAGTCTTCTCCAACACCACAGTTCAAAAGCATCAATTCTTCGGCGCTCAGCTTTCTTTATAACTCTGTGGTTAAACTGTATCCATAATTATTTCTTCACTTGGTCATCCTTCAAGTGAATTACCAGGCAGTCCAGTGGTTGCGACTCAGCATTTTCACTGCCAAAGGCCCGGGGAACTAAGATCTTGCAGGCAGCATGGCATGGCCAAAAATTAAAAAAAAAAACCAAACAGCCAACAAGGTCACCCTTCAGAAGCACTGCAGAGAATGATGGCAGCCCTGTGTCATTCTCTTGTATTCCCTATCCTAGGGTCTCCCTGGCGGCTCAGCAGCAAAGAATCTGCCTGCCAATGCAGGAAATACAGGACCCAGTTTCGATCCCTGGGTTTGGAAGATCCCCTGGAGTAGAAAATGGCAATCTGCTCTGGTATTCTTGCCTGGAAAATTCCATGGACTGAGGAGCCTGGTGGGCTACAGTCCATGAGGTTACAAAGGAGCCAGACAGGAGTTAGTCAGTAAACAACAACAGAGAGCCTTTACACCACCCGCAACTGTGTCAGCTTTCTTTGGCGCAGACTCGACTTTACGCTATTCCTCTTCTCTCTTTACTTCCAGGAACCTGTTTTAAACCACAACTCTCCTCAGTGTTTCAGCTAACAGGTGTGGTTGTAAGGTATTTATCTTTGGTTGCAGTAAAGATACATTTTATATATTGATCACCTGCCAGAAGTCAGAAGGTTCCGGGTGATAACTTGGGGTGCTGTGGGCTAAGTACTCTTGCTCCAACCCTCACTGCAACTACCTAAACAAAATACCAACATTTCCGGGCTCAGGGCTGGCCACTGCCATTTCAGAAGCTCCAAGCTCCACACCTGCCCAGTCCAGTTTTCTCCAAAGGCTGGGTTTTTCTCTCCTTCCCATCTCTCATCCACTTAGCAAAATGCCTGACCCAGTGGAAGAGGTGGTGAATAAGGAGGTTCAGAGAGTATGAGGACAAAGCTCCCAAGAAGGGGACTCAGAAACAAAATAATGATTATGTTGTTTCATAGACCCTGCTTGCTGATCATACTAACCTCCATATGGACCCAAATCTCTCTGTCATTGTTCCTGGTACACTTTCTCCCTGATCCCTTACTGCCTCCAACTGCAGAGCCTCCTTTATTTCTGATGGGCCATGTTCTGAGGATGCAAGAGGCTTATTATCTATGACCTGGATTTCCACACTGGATGGATAGATTCTCCCCTGCGGGAGAAATGAGAATAGAAAGAGATGCAGGACATCGCAGTGGTTACCAGCCTGGGCTCTGGAGACTGACAGAGATCTGGGTGTCAGCTCAGGTGTTACACTTACACATTCCTGAAAAGCCCACTTGCAGTTTCCTCATCTATAAGGTGAAGAAGCTTCTTGTGAGGGTTAAAAAACATCACTAAGGGCAAGGGATAGGATGTAAGCTATTATTAGTGTTGTTGCAGGAAGACACCTCAAAGTATGAACAAAAGAAAGACATTGTAACAGTGAGTGATTGGAGACTTTTTGTTTTCAAGTCCACTTGAGTTATATGCTATTGCCAATACTGGTAGCCTGGTACTACTTACTAACCTATGCTTCTTCCTTTCAAATATAAAAAGTTTTGGGAAGATAGAATTATGAACTTGCCTGAAAAATGGTACAAGGGAGTGGAATGAACCTACATGGAATATGTTGTTCAATAAAGTTCTTGGGGAAAATGAAAAATGTGTCTTTTATTTTTACTTAAAAACTGAAGGAACTTTTTGGCCAGCTAATAGAAATACTCATTTGAAGTGGCGATTGTCCAGTGAAAAGTACTCACACCTCCTCCAAGGTCCTGCAGCCAGAGCAGCATGTGAGCTGAAGTTGGCTGTCTGGGACTTCCTGGAAAGCTACTGTTTTCCTGGCAAAGAGCTGTTTGGTGCCTTTTGCCCTTTCCTCCTGTCTGAGATCCAACCTTGGAGCCTGGAGGTGGAGTAGCCACCTCAACACCCTGTGGCTGAAAGGACCACCGTGTGCTGCTGCCTATGGGCCTGCTGGCTTGCGCAGAGACCGCGATGTTGAATCAGCCAGGGTCCCAACAGGACACACACGGCTCACTCCAATGGGCTGCTGGTGGAGACTTGGAAAACAGGCATTGTTTGCAAAGGTGCAGTCGGTGTTAGGAAACATAGTTAAGAGCCAAGGCTGTAGCCTGGGGTTGGCGATGCAGGGAGCATTTCCAGTCCTGTGGGCAGGAGAAGGGAGTGGTTACCAGGACCACTAGAGAAAACAGCTGTGGGGAAGGGCTGCCTGAGAGGAGCAGCCTCTGTTCACCCCAAGAAAGGGATGAGGAGGTTCATTACCCTAAGCTTACAATTTTCTGTGGGTAGTGCCTTCCATTGGCCAAACCCAACTAGAAGCCAGAGACCTGGAGAGCTGAGGTGATGCAATACATTTAGGACAATCTCAGGGCACTGAGCAAGTTAAAGAGGAGTATAGATCCAAATGAGCAAATGGAACATATCTGTGACCTGGCATTGTGTGACTCAGTGGTCCTGAACATGGTAATTAAGAAGGACAGCAAGAGTGTATGGATGTGACAGCTGGACCATAAAGAAGGCTGAGCACTGAAGAATTGATGCTTTTGAACCATGGTGCTGGAGAAGGCTCTTGAGAGTCCCTTGGACTGCAAGGAGATCCAGTCAGTCAATCCTAAAGGAAATCAATCCTAAATACCTACTGGAAGGACTGATGCTGAAGTTGAATCTCCAATACTTTGGCCACCTGAAGCAAAGAACTGACTCACTGGAAAGACCCTGATGCTGGGAAAGATTGAAGGCAGGAGAAGGGGTCGACAGAGGATGAGATGGTTGGATGGCATCACTGACTCAGTGGACATGAGCTTGAGCAAACTCTGGGAGTTGGTGATGGACAGGGAAGCCTGGTGTGCTGCAGTCCATGGGGTTGCAAAGAGTCAGACACGACTGATGAACTGAACTGAACTGAACTGAGCAAGAATGGGGCTTCCCTGGTGGCTTAGCAGTAAAGAATCCACCTACCAATGCAGGAGACTTGGGAGACATGGGATCAATTCCTGGGTTAGAAAGATCCCTGGAGAAGGAAAGGGCTACCCACTCCAGTATTCTTGCATGGGAAACCCCATGGACCAAGAAGCCAGGGAGGCTACAGTCTACAGGTTCTGCAAAGGGTTGGACATGACTTAGCGACTAAACAAGAACAAGAGAACAAGAAGGAACACAGGAGGAGCCTCAGTGCTGGCGGCTCTGGGGGTCACCACAGCAGCTTGAGCTGACTATTTGGGGAGCACATAACCATGTGAGGAAGACAAACCTGCATCCAGTTAAGTTGGTCTGGTCAGGTTTCAGTTACTTGCTTGAATGCAGCCCTATGCAATCTATGTGCATTTTCGATTTGTGCCGTCATTAGTCAACACAACTCCAATTATCTGAGTTATTATCATTCCATGTTTATTTCTTATTGGTTGAAAGCCAAATGTTTATCATTTTTTACCCAACGAGCCTGCCTTGGCTGAATGTTTTGCTTTGTATATAAGTAGGTAAGATGAAGTCTATAAAAGCTGATAAACATGGCTGGAAGGAAAGGGGCAGCATTGGGCAGTAGCAGTGACTTGCTGCCCTGGGACAGGCTCATGAGCTCTATTTATTGCCTCGGTCTCCCGGGGCTGGGCTCCAAGATCAACTGCATGGGGTCAGGAATACGACTCTGAGGGCTTCAATTCCGTCTCCCTGGCTGACGGGGGCTCAGGGATGGGTCATATCCTCGTCCGGAGCTCAGCCGCTCTGTCTCTTCTCTGCCACTCCCTAAGCTGCAGCAATCACGCCCATGCTTGACCCTTAGCGCGCTGGGGTCCCCTTCTCCCCCATGAGATGACTGCTTTTCCTCCCGGGCTCCTGTTTCAGATTCTCGCTCGGTCATTGGTGTAGGCTCTGCCCAGCCTGGAGCCCTGTGTTGATCCTGCCAGTGCCCTCCGTCTCCACGCCTTGGCTGCTGCTCTAGCCACGGCTGGAGTCCTGTGATCTGGAGGCACACCTCTCAAACACCATCTGCCTCCTTCATGGTGGGAACAGCGCCTGCCCACACTCTCTGCTGTTGAGCTCTGCCCACCTGCTGGTGCTCCTCAAAACCCTGCTCACACTGCTGCCAATAAGCCCTTGGCCTGAGTCCTCGACTGAGACTGAGGTGTCCCTTGGACATGGCAATTTTAGACTCTTAACTGAAAATATTGCACTGTCTGCCACCTCTCAGCATCAGCCCCTCCCTCTTGGGCTGTCTCTGCAGTGGCCTATTGCTCAGGCCGAGTAGAAACAGTAGTAATGTAATGAAAATGATAGAAACGAAACAATCTATTATGTACTACGTGCCAACCACATGCCAGGCACTGCTTACACACAGCACTTTCCTTGTGCACGGTGTCGCCCACATTTCAGGCGCCATATACAAAAACTACACATTTCAGTGTATTTTAATAACATCAGTCCCCCTACAACACAGTTCAAAACTATTACCACAGTATACCAACTGTGAGTAACTGGATAAGTATAAACTTTGCCACTAGCTTTTCAGTCCACAAAATTATTATGCTGATAACAGCATGATCAATGATCAATCATGTTACTTCTCTTACAGTCTATAAGTGATTGGTCACTGGACTGTGGTTATTCAGTTTATGTATAGATAGTAAAGCATGTAGTTGTATTGCTTCCTTAATTTCCAGTAATAAACTCATGTGACATCTGCAAAAACAGATAACAGAATTGGCCAACAAAAAAGTTAGCAAAAGAGACAAAAATGGGGACTTCCCTGGTGGTCCAGGGGTTAAGAATTCACCTGCCAATGCAAGGGACGCAGGTTCGATCCCTCGTCTGGGCACTAATATTCTGCATGCTTCGGGGCAACCAGGCCCCTATGCCACACTGTGCAAGACAACTACTGAAGCAGCACTCCAGAGCCTGCAAGCCACAGCTACTGAGCCGCCCACCTACAGCCTGTGCTCCGCAGCAAGAAGTCCACACACCCCAACTGGAGAGTAGCCCCAACGCATCACAACTATTTGCTACTCATGGACTGTAGCCCGCCAGGTTTCTCTGTCTATGGAATTCTACAGGCAAGAATACTGGAGTGGGTAGCCCTTCCCTTCTCCAGAGGATCTTCCTGACCCCCAGATCCAACCTGGGTCTCCTGGCTGGACACTGGCCTCCTGGTTGCAGGCAGATTCTTTACTATCCGAGTCGCTGGGGAGGCCTAAGATCTCTTTGCAGGGTTTCAACTTCCGTGGTCATTTTCACTGAACTACACTCTCCTACCGAGCAAGAACAGCCTGTACTTTTACATATATTATCTCATTTGATCTTCAAAATAACCTTAAGAAATAGATGCTATCATCATCCCCATATTATAGACAAAGAATCTGAAGCTCAAAGAAAATAATTCGACTGAGACCACATAGCTATTATTATTATTATTCTTTGACTCTTAAAGTCTTTTTAGAATTCCAAATGTATAGACTTGATTCTTTTTGCACTTTGATGATGTTGTGCTGGGTCTTCATCGCTGTGCTCGGGCCTTCTCTAGGTCTGGTGATCAGGGGCTATTCTCCACTGTGAAGCTTGGGCGTCTCTTACTGTAGACCAGGCTCTATTGCAGCACCAGGGATCAGTAGTTATGGTGTACCAGCGTAGTTGTGGCATGTGGAATCTTCCCAGACCAGGACTGAACCTGTGCGCCCTGCACTGACAGGCAGGTTCTTAACAACTGGACCACGAGGGAAGTCCCCAGCTAATGTAATGTTAATATACCAAATGCCCTAGTTCTGGTCAATGAAACCTAAGAGCAGGTGTGCTGGGTGGTTTCTGAGTAATATGCTTTTCCTCCTTGTAAAATGAGAGTTCTAGTCCCTTGTCCTGGATGTTGTCCTATTTCATGCCTTTGGGCATTGGTTGTGTGGGGATACAATGTCCAAAGCTACAACAACCTTCTTTTAAACACAAAGGAAAGATTGAGAGAAACTCAGAGATGCTACCTGGAACTGTAACACTGTGGAACTGCTAAACTAACCTTAGACTTACCTACCCCAGATTTCTTGCGCAAGATAATTGTCATATCATTTAGCCACACTGTGTTGGATATTATGCTACTTGTAACAGAGCATTTCCAAATGACATACTCTTTTGCTACGATTTAAACACTTGTGTTTAAAAGGCTCCAAATTCACTGCAGATGGTGACTGCAGCCATGATATTAAAAGACACTTGCTTCTTGGAAGAAAAGCTATTACAAACCTAGATGGCATATTACAAAGCAGAGACATTAATTTGCCAACAAAGGTCCATGCAGTGAAAGCTATCATTTTTCTAGGGAACATTTCATGCAAAGATGGGCTCAATAAAGGACAGAAATGGTATGGACCTAAGAGAAGCAAGAGGTGGCAAGAATATACAGAAGAACTGTACAAAAAAGATCTTCACGACCCAGATAATCATGATGGTACGATCACTCACCCAGAGCCAAACATCCTGGAATGTGAAGTCAAGTGGGCCTTAGGAAGCATTACTACAAACAAAGCTAGTGGAGGTGATGGAATTCCAGCTGAGCTATTTCAAATCCTAAAAGATGATGCTGTGAAAGTGCTGCACTCAATATGTCAGCAAATTTGGAAAACTCAGCAGTGTCCACAGGACTGGAAAAGATCTGTTTTCATTCCAATCCCAAAGAAAGGCAATGCCAAAGAATGTTCAAACTACTGCACAACTGCACTCATCTCACATGCTAGTAAAGTAATGCTCAAAATTCTCCAAGCCAGGCTTCAACACTACATGAACCATGAGCTTCCAGATGTTCAAGCTGGTTTTAGAAAAGGCAGAGGAACCAGAGATCAAATTGCCAACATCTGTTGGATTATCAAAAAAGCAAGAGAATTAAAAAAAAAATCTATTTCTGCTTTATTGACTATGCCAAAGCCTTTGACTATAGTGGATCACAATAAGCTGTGGACAATTCTGAAAGAGATGGGAATACCAGACCACCTGATCTGCCTCTTGAGAAATCTGTATGGAGGTCAGGAAGAAAAGTTAGAACTGGACATGGAACAACAGACTGGTTCCAAATAAGGAAAGCAGAACGTCAAGGCTATAATGCTGGGCTGGATGAAGCACAAGCTGGAATCAAGATTGCCTGGAGAAATATCAATAACCTCAGATATGCAGATGACACCACCCTTATGGCAGAAAGTGAAGAACTAAAGAGCCTCTTGATAAAAGTGAAAAAGGAGAGTGAAAACGTTGGCTTAAAGCTCAACATTCAGAAAACTAAGATCATGGCGTCTGGTCCCATCACTTCATGGCAAATAGAAGAAACAGTGACAGACTATTTTTTTGGACTCCAAAATCACTGCAGATGGTGACTGTAGCCGTGAAATTAAAAGACGCTTACTCCTTGGAAGAAAAGTTACGACCAACCTAGACAGCATATTGAAAAACAGAGACATTACTCTGCCAACAAACGTCCATCTAGTCAAGGCTATGGGCTTTCCAGTAGTCATGTATGGATGTGAGAGTTGGACTATAAAGAAAGTGGAGCACCGAAGAATTGATGCTTTTGAACTGTGGTGTTGGAGAAGACCCTTGAGAGTCCCTTGGACAGCAAGGAGATCCAACTAGTCCATCCTAAAGGAAATCAGTCCTGGGTGTTCATTAGGAGGACTGATGTTGAAGCTGAAACTCCAATACTTTGGCCATCTGATGTGAAGAAATGACTCTTTTGAAAAGACTTTGATGCTGGGAAAGATTGAAGGCGGGAGGAGAAGGGGAAAACAGAGGATGAGATGGTTGGATGGCATCACTGACTCAATGGACTGAGTTTGAGTAAATCTGGCAGTTGGTGATAGACAGGGAAGCCTGGCATGCTGTAGTCCATGGGGTCACAAAGAGTTGGACACGACTGGGCTACTGAACTGAACAGACTGATACTCGAGTAATCTGAAATACAGACAGATTAAGTTTCCCTGGCCCTGAACAGACAGTACAAGTATCCAAGCTGAGACCTAAATTCAGGTAATCTGGTTACAAAGTCCACCTTCTATCCATAATGCCATCCAAAGCATAATCATTGAACACAGCAGCTAAATATACACCTGACTACGAATCAACCACTATCAAAAATGTGTAAGAACTAAAAATGAGTTATGTGTGTCAAATCTATTGATGGAGGACAGATAAGTTTGACATCACTCTGCCTTACCCTTATGTAATACCTACTCTGTGTATGATGTAAGGAATGCAAAGAAGCAGAAGAGGGGGTATGACAAGAAAATGCTGATATTTGTTGGTGATGGACAGGGAGGCCTGGCGTGCTGCAGTCCATGGGGTTGCAAAGAGTCAGACATGACTGAGCAACTGAACTGAACTGAACTGATGTATGGATGTGAGAGTTGAACCATAAAGAAAGCTGAGCACCAAAGAATTGATACTTTTGAACTGTGGTGTTGGAGAAGGCTCTTGAGAGTCCCTTGGACTGCAAGGAGATCCAACCAGTCACTCCTAAGGGAGATCAGTCCTAAATATTCATTGGAAGGATGGGTGCTGAAGCTGAAGCTCCAATACTTTGGCCACCTGATGCAAAGAACTGACTCACTGGAAAAGACCCTGATGCTGGGAAAGATTGAAGGCAGGAGGAGAAGGGGGAAATAAAGGATGAGATGGTTGGATGACATCACCAACTCGATGGACATGAGTTTGAGCAAGCTCTGGGAGTTGGTGATGGACAGGGAAGCCTGGCGTACTGTAGTCTATGGAGTCGCAAAGAGTCGGATACAACTGAGCGACTGAACTGAACTGAAATGTTTGTATCCCTGTCCAAATTCAAATGTTGAAATCCTCACACCCCAAACTGATGGTGTTAGGATGTAGAACCTCTGTTCTTGATCTAAGGTCATGAAAGTGGGGCCCTCATGAATGGAATTAATGCCCTTATAAGAGATCCCAGAAAGGTCCCTCATGCCTTTCACCAGATAGGAAAGAGTGAGAGGTCAGCAATGTGAAACTTGCAAGAGAGTCTTCATCAGAATCTGACCATGCTCGCACCTAGATCTTCCAGCCTCAAGAACTGTGAGAAATAAAATGGGTTGTTTAGAAACCATCCAGCCTGTAGTATAGTGCTATAGTAGCCTAAAGCGACTAAGACATCTCTAACCTTTTCATCTTTATTCTTCCTCAGGACCACAATCATGTTCAAGTCTCATCCCTGGAAAAGAATAAGAACAGCTTGCTCTGTACCCAGCCATTTTTCCCCTCCAGCCATTGTTTTTTCTTTCCTTTCAGGGGCAAGTCTGTGTGAGAAGTAAAGTATACATGCTATCTGTGCAGCCTCACTTGTTATTCATTCTTCGATCTTCTGTGGCTTCCCTCCTCCCACTCCACTGAGTATTTTAATCTAGGCCATTAATAACCTCTTAGTCTGCAAATTCAGCAGACGCTGCTTCTTGGTCTTTTTCTTATCTGACCTCTCTATGGCTCTTGGCTTTGATAACCACTTCCGCTCTGTGAAAGCCCCTTTGCCTGCGGCTTCCTTGACATCGCCCTCACCCAGTTCCCTTTTGACTTCTCTGGCTATTTGTTCCCCATTTCGTTCATGAGAGCCTCCTTCTGTCTTTACCACTTAGAAGTTGGTTTCTTTAGGGTGCTATTCTGCCTCACTCTTCTCTTCCCTTTCTACACTCTTCTAGTAGATGGCAACTGGCATTCTTTTTTTTTTTTCTTTTTTGGAAAGAGCACCGGGGTGGAGAGCAGGAGGGGAAGGGAGCCCAGGAGAACTGCTCTCTTCTGGAAAACAAGGACATCTCTCTTGGACAAACATAGCAAAGGACTGAACACTGGTCTTTTTACCTTTAATTCCTCAGCGGTTAAGGAGTTGCATTATGATTCCAATAAAAAGCTGTCTTTCTTTTGACTCACTGTTAACCATTTTTATTACTAATTAGAAGAAGAAAAAAGAGAAAAAAGGAAGAGGCTTAATTTAGAGAAGAAGGAAAGAACCTGAAACGTACCCACCTTTCTTACCCTACCTTTCTTATGTAGGGGGGCCTGTAGCGCCCTAGTGGGGTTCTAAAACCTGAAGCCTACCCACTTTCCTCACCCTACCTATCTTACGCAGGGGGGCCCGCGGCGCCCTAGTGGGGTCCTAGCGGTCCCGAAGACTGAACAAGGGGGGGGGATTACCTTTGGGTTCCCTGTTCGTGGTGCCACTTGCTGGGGTCCAGCCTCGGCAGGATCCAGGGGATAACTCAGGATGAACGGAGTCGGCGAGAGACAGAGAGAGAGAGAGAGAGAAGACACGTGAGACCAGCCTTGATAGGGCCAAGTCTGCGAGGGAGGGGGAGAGCGAGAGAGAGAGAGAGACAGAGAGAGAGAGAGAGAGAGAGAGAGAGAATGACCAGATGAGGGTGTTTGCAGGGTCTGGCAGAGTCTGGCCGCAACTTGCATTCTTAAAGTTTCAAAGATTGAAGGTAGCTTTCTTGAGAAATGGGGACCTATTCTAGACTTCTCACTCAAGCAGAGCTGAGTCAGAGGTACTCTGTTAAAATATCTTTCATAGTGGATTAAGCATCTTGTCATGTATTGAACTGTGTCCCCCAACAAGGTATGCTGAAGTTCTAATGCCCAAGAGCTATGATTGTGACATTATTTGAACACAAGGGCTTTGCAGCTGTAAACATGTTAAGATGAGGTCAGCAGGAGGGCCCTAAAGTGATATGACTAATGAACTTCTAAGAAAAGGAAAAGAGACACAGACACAGGGAGGACACAATATGAGGATGGAGGCAGAAGATGCAGTGATGCAGCTAAAACCAAGGAAGGTCTGTGACTGACAGTCACCACCAGAAGTTAGAAAGAGGCAAGGAAGCATCCCTCCCTACAGGTTTCAGAGGGATCATGTCCCTGCTGGTACCTTGATTTTCGATTTCTAGACCTTAGAACTGTGAGACAGTACCTTTCTGTGGTTTTAATCCCCATGGTTTGTGGTACTTCATTACAGCAGTCTTAGGAAACTAATACAGACCTGCCCCACCATCCTGAAGAAGCTCCTTACCTAAGCAAGCGGCTATCACTTGTAATCTCTTCTGTCTTAACATTTTGCCTTCATCTTTCCCTTAGTTCAGAGATTTTCAGACTTTCAAATATCAAACACCAGTTTGGATTTTTTTAAATCTGAGTATCAACACTGGGTTTGCAACTTTTAATTTTACCCTTAGTCTTTTGCTATAAGGACATTAAAACAAAACAAAAACAAACTACCATTCACTTACAAGCATCATTTATAAAAGCTAGGACATTTTAACACTAAACTCTCAGAATAAAGTATAGTTCTTTAAATGAAATATTTAATGTTTTATGAAAAAGTCATTGCTCTATCCCAACTTTTCCAGTATTGTTTCAGATAAAAAATATATAACCAAAACAGTTAAAAGCCCATGGTATGAAAGTAACCAAAAAAGAAATGAGTACATAAACATTCATAGGTTTCTTTGTTTCCAGCCATCTTCCTATTCCAAGATCTCTTTGACCATAGTATGAAGTTCAGGCATTAATCAGCGAGAGTAAAAACTTGAGAAGCAGGAGCTGTAAAGAATAGTAAGAATTCCTTCTTAAAAGGAAGAGAATGACCTCTCAAAAGGAAGTTTAGATGAATGAGAAGGTGGGAGAGGCATGCTAGATTTGAGAAAGCTGGGGACAGGAGATGAGCTAGGCACGAAAGAAACTGAAAACATTAAGATGAGAAGAATGAAATTTTAGGAAATTTGGTCTACACTATGTGTATTCCCTCTTTGATACCTTAAGAGTGTGAGGTAGGGATTTAAATTGCTTTAGTCCCCCCCCCCACCCCCCCTAACACTTCCCCCCACCCCCGACTTTGAGTGTGATTCTTTGTAGGACCAGATCACAAGGCAGCCCAGACTTAAAAGGGTTACTTATGACTGCATTCAGAGGAAGTATGTTATAGTGGTTAGGGGTTGGGACTCTGGAATCAGAAGTTTTGCCTTTGAATCCTGGCCCGAATTCTTCTCTGCTGTGGGCCCACGAGAAAATTACTTTTCTGTGCCTCATTTCTCCATTCACTAAAGGGAGAAAACAGTACCCACTTCACTGGATTGTTGGGAGAATCATGAGTTAACACATACAAGGCAAGGAGGACAGTGCTTGTCAATGAAACACCCTCAAACGTCAGACAACAATAAAACAGAAATCTATACATAACCTCCCAGCTGTTTAAACAAAACAACTTTCGCGGCTCACCGTTCCTAAACTCCTTGGCATGGCACGCTTCAAATCTGATCTGATTTGTCCTGGCAAGCTTAGCTCCGGTCTTCCCTCCAGAGTTAGCTGCAGCGGGCACGCGGCGCTCGCAGACTCTCGGTCGCGGTCCAGATTCCCTCCCGCCCGCAGACCGGCTCCTCCCACCCCCCGCGCCGATCACCCGCGCCCGGCTCCCCCCCATGCTCCCGCCTTCGCGGGCATGCTCGCCGCCCTCGAGGCGCCTGGGCACGTGTGTCACGCCCTCTGCGGAGACCGACTTCACTCTCCTCTCGCCCCGCTCCCGGCACTTCAAAACCTCCAAGCGAGCTTTTCTCTTGGTGTGCTGTCATTGTTTAAAGGGTCTGACTCGCCTGCACATCCTAGATGCTCAATTAAAGTGACCGTAAAGGGAAACGCTCTCTCTTCTCCTGCAAACACAGAACTGGAGGTACTGGGTGGGGAGGGGAGACTGGTCAGCAGGAAATTTCCTTGCATCCTAAAATCCGTTGCCCCGAGTGCCAAGACCAGCCACGTCGCCCGCGGGTAGGGGCCGGACTCCCTTCCAGGACCTCCATCGCCCCCCCGCCCCGCCGCCCCTCCCCGTCCCGCGCCGCTTCTCACAGCCTTGCAGCCTCGCCCTGGACCCCACGGTCACGTGACCAGCATCCCCACCTTGGGGTACCCCCCCGGGGTACCCACCCCCGCCCCGCCCCGCCCCGCCCCACGCGCACAGCTGGAGGCCGGTCCCCGCCCTCCCCCGGGAGCAGCGACGCCGGAGCGGGCGCGGTGCATTGTGGGCAGAGGGGCGGGGGTTGGGAAGATGGCGGCTCCCAGCCTCCTGAACTGGAGGCGGGTTTCCTCCTTCACGGGGCCGGTTCCCCGCGCCCGGCATGGACACCGAGCGGTGGCCATCCGGGAGCTGATGATCATCTTTGGCGGGGGCAACGAGGGCATCGCGGACGAGCTGCACGTCTACAACACCGGTAGGCTCGGCGGCGGTTCTTCGGCCCCGCCTGCGGGAGCCGCGGAGGGGGAGGGGAGGCGAGGCGGCGGCCGCGGCCCTGACAGCTGTCACCGCCGGGTCACTGTCTTCTCCGACCGGCGGCGGGGAGTGCGGCTCGGCCGGTTGGCCCGCTCCCGCAGCGTCCCGGGCCGTAGCTCCGTTTTCCCCGGTTCCGCTGGGGCGGAACCGGCCCCGGAGCGGGGCGAGCCGGCCCTCTGGCAGACGGTCGTGGAGCCCCCCCCTCCCCCCCCCGGGGCCCGCGCCAACGCTGCTGGCGGACGTAGGCGAGAGAGACTGTTTCCACCCGCCTGGGCCTCTTCCCGAAGTCTCGCCCACTCCGGTGCCCCGAGATCCCTCCCTGTCAAAACTCAACTCAAAACCAGCGCTCCTCGGGGCCTTTCTTGTCTTCGCTTTCCTTCCTTCGTAGGAAGAGAATATAGGGGAAATGAGGAGGGAAAAGGAAAGGCCTTCTGGTACTTTCACCCCCATCTGAGCCCCGTATCTGGCAGGTGGCAGTCAAGATTTTTACCCCGTTCTCAGTGCCCTTAACTGGCGGGGAAGTGGTTCGTGGGTGAGACCGGCGCCTGGGTCTGCGCAGTTGGGTGTGTGTGCCCAAGCTCAGCCGTTCGGCGCTCGATCGGGGAGGGCCGTCGGCTTCAGCACCGCTGCGGATGAGAAATGCCTCGGGCCGCGGAGGCCCTTGCCCTTGAGTACCTCTGTGGAATATAAGGGAGGTTGGAATTTCATTTTTTTCCCCACTTGTAAATGCGCCAGCTGTCATAAGGAAGCTGTTTTCTTGGTGTAACGTTAATTAATGAGTTTCAGATCAACGTCGCGATCCATAACTTTTCTCTGGCCGAATAGCTTAACCGTAGTGGTCATTTAGAAATGAATAAAATGGTGGAGTAGGAGAAATTTTTTATTTTCTCACCTTCTCCTCCTTCTGGCACCCCAGCCTAAAAAGTTAGAAAGGTTAGTCAGTACTTGGGTAGAATGTGAAAACCTTGGCTTTGAATTTGTCAGACCCAGTTTGAATTTTGCTCTGCCAGTTGCTTAGGATCAGCGCTAAAGTTAAGGAAACCTAAGTGTCAGATTTTTCACTTGTAAAATGGAGAGCATGATACTCCCCAAGTAGGGTTTTTGTTGAAAAGTTAAATGATATATAGATCAAGGTTTTTCAGCAGCATGTCTATTGATATTTGAACCGGATAATTTTTGGTTTTAGGGGGCTGCACTGTGCATTGGGCTTCCTGGTGGCTCACGATAAAGAATTGGCCTGCAATGCGGAGCTAACCCTAACCTGGGATGGTCACTGAGTTGGGAAGGGCCCCTGGAGGAAGGCATGGCAACCCACTCCAGTATTCTTGCCTGGAGAATCCCCAGGCACAGAGGAGCCTGGCGGGCTACAGTCCGTGGTGTCGCAGAGTCAGACACGACTCAGCGACTAAGCCCACGAATACTGTGCATTGTAAGATGTTTGGCAGTCCTAGTCCTCTACCCGCTGGCTGCTGGGAGTACCCCGCCCTTCCACATAGGACAGCTAAAAATTTTTTATTTGTCCCTGACCGGGCAAAATCATTTCCAGTTAAGAACCACTGATATAAATGATCTTTATAAAAGTACATACTCATAGTTTATGATAACTGTTTGTTATAATTGGTTTTCATTTTATTTTGGCAACTAGTTACAAATCAGTGGTTTCTACCAGCTGTTAGAGGAGACATCCCGCCAGGCTGCGCCGCCCATGGATTTGTCTGTGATGGCACCAGAATATTAGTGTTTGGGGGAATGGTTGAGTATGGAAGATACAGCAATGAGTTATATGAGTTACAAGTAAGTGTATTTCAAATTTATTATCTCAGACTGAAATATTAATAATGATATTGCTCTTAATTCTTTGAAAGATTGCAAAATATTTCATTAACGTGCTGAAGATAAGTGTGAGCTCCACATTTTATAGCTTCAAGGAAAACGTTTCCACTTCACTACAAAGCCAAAGTTTCTAATGTAATTCTTTTTCCAATACCCAGTGCAACATTTGTAACATTAAGATATCTGTTACTTAGCATCAGTTGTACAAGTTATATTTGGGCTTTTGTATTTTACTGCAGTCTTTCTTAAGCTTTAGCCTGCAACAGAAGCAGGGGGCGGGTTTGTGAAAACAGATTGCTGAGCCTCGCCCTCAGAGTTTCTTAATCAGTATTGTCTACAGAGAATTTGCATTCCTACTAAAGTCACACCTGCTGCTGATCCCCAGACTATACCTTTTGGAAAACATCTGCCTTAGTTATAAAAATTGTTCCTCTAACACTAACAATCACCACCCCCACCCCCCCTCCACTGCTGGCAATACATACAAAAGAGGTAACAGTTTCAGATAGCCTTCCAAATTTGACTCTCCAATGAACCGGACTCAGAGCTCATGGTGACAGCCCTGACTAATTTTGATTCCTAAACTGTTCTTATATTCCTAAGGCTGTGATCATGAGCGTATTTGGTAGTTGGCAGATATAGATGGATTATGCCTGTTTATAAGCAGTTCTTTTCAAAAAATTTCAATCCATGACTAGAGAGTAAGTTTTGGAGTTTGGTTTGTTAAATGATCTTTACATTGGACTTCCCTAGCAGGCCAGTGGTTAAGACTCTGCACTTCCACGGCAGGGAGCACAGGTTCCATCCCTGGTTGGGGAACTAAGATCCCACATGCCCTGTGGTGTGGCCAAGGAAAAAAAATTGGTTTTTATGATCTTTATGTTTATTTAAAGATTAAAATATATACCATTCATGGATTAACTAATTTCAAAAGGTGAGAGTGCATAAATTACATGTAATCTTAAAGTTGTAAATAATTTTGAATTCTTCAATTGGAAAATATTGGGTTGGCCAAAAGTTCGTTTGAGTTTCCCCATGATGTGTTGCTGAAAAACTCAAACTTTTTTGCCAATCCAGTGTTTTATGATTACTAGTGTTAATAATTATTAGCTTAGTTTGCCATTGTGGAAAGCTGTGAATATGGAAGACAAGACTGATTTTCTGTTGGAACACTCATTTTAATTTCAGAATTTATCTGGTTATTTGTCATTTATCCTCAAAGTAGTTTATTGAAGCCTTCTGATTGGATTCAGATTAAAATGTATTGGTATGATATTTTAGTATTTTAACAGGAATATTTCGTGATTTTGTCTAAGTGTATTTATGCTCTTTTTTTAGGCAAGTCGTTGGTTATGGAAAAAAGTGAAACCCCATCCCCCTTCTTCTGGTTCACCTCCTTGTCCTCGACTGGGACATAGCTTCTCTTTATATGGTAACAAATGCTATTTATTTGGTGGACTGGCAAATGAAAGTGAAGATTCAAACAATAATGTTCCCAGGTATGCCAACACTTTTTCAGATCAAATGTTTATTTTATGATTTAGATTAAGAACATATAATTTCTTCCATCTTTAATTATTAAAAGCAATGAAGCTTATCCCTTTGCATTTGAACCTAACAGTGAAAAAATTTGTGTCCATTTGTGATTTTTCCTTAGTCCCTGGAGTATATCAATTTTCAAAACTGTGCCTTTTTAAATCAAATCATCTTACTAAATTGGTATTAATATAACTGCTTGTGGCAGTTATATTGTATATGTTGAGCCATAATGTTGTAAGTGATAATGAAAAGTAACATGGTTATTTACAAATTATATTTCTCTGGGAATTTGGTGACAAAAATCTGAATATCAAATGAAGGCCATCATTTCCATTTTTCACATAGGAAGCTGTTAAGAGTGGTTCACACAAGCAAATACCTTTAGAACCAATCCTCTTCTTTTTTCAAACAGAATTAATCACTGCCTCTTTTCTTTTTGCATAATGTTTTGATCACATGGTCATGATAGCATTCAGAATTTGGAGGTTTAGAGTCCATAAGACTGTTTTCTGATTCACTGCTTAACCATGTATGTGTCCTTTAGTGGAAGTAATCTAAGCCTGTTTTCCTTCACTGTGAAATGGGAGTGATTAATTACCTACCTTCCAGTGTCATTGTGATTACTAAATAAGATTATTGGCATAATTTTCAAAGCACTTTCCAGTTGCCATCAGCAATATCAATAGTTGCCGTCACCATTATAATGTATCTTTTTACCTATATTAGGTTGATTTTAGAGCCTTACCATTTTTTCCCCCTATGTTAAAAAAATAACATGCTAAAACTACATAGAAAATTTGGAAACTAGAGAAAAAGAGGAAAAAAATGTATCCCCCACACTAATCCAGATACTTTTAGTACATGTCTTTTTTCATTTTCCATTAAACAGATTTCTTTTGAGATACTGACTTGTGAAATTCAAGGAATTAGACAATTTATAAAGTTTTTTCTCACAGGATCCCTGTTCCCCAACATAGGCAGCCACACATAATTCAATTTGATGTGTATGTTTTGGGAACTTTTTCATATAACATATTGTATTAGTCAGTTTTTGTTGTGTTAAAGGTAAGTTTCTCAAGTTTATGCTGGTTGAGAGAATAACTAGATACATGTGATGCTTATTAAAGCCAGCACATTAATTTCTGTTGACATTCCATTGTTCAAAGCAAGTTGTAAGGCCAAGACCTGAGTGGGTGATGCAAGGATACATGTTCTGCTTTCTGGGAGAAGGGACGTGGGAATATTAATCTGATACTACTCATTTTTTTTTTTAAATATAAGTGAGAACTTTTCTCTTGTTTCATGACTTTGAGTGTTTATTTCTTTCGGTTTTTTGTTTGTTTTTTTACCTTTAGTAATATATCTTTACCTGGCAGTAGACATGGATTGGCCTATTTTTAACGGTGGAAAAGTAGCCTGAATTTTGCAAATTATCTAACCATTCCCCTACAGATGGGCACTTAAATATTTCCATTTTGCTATTATAGTTTTTGCATAATATGAATTTTTTTGTAGGATTGATACTTATAAATGAAATTGGGAAGGAGATGGTGGTGACCAAAGGATACATCTTAAGTTTGTTCAGAAAAAAAAAAAAGTTTGTTCAGTTCAGTTCAGTTCAGTTGCTGAGTCGTGTCTGACTCTTTGCGACTCCGTGAACTGCAGCACGCCAGGCCTCCCTATCCATCACCAACTCCCGGAGTTTACCCAAACTCATGTCCATTGAGTTGGTGATGCCATCCAACCATCTCATCCTCTGTTGTCCCCTTCTCCTCCCGCCTTCAATCTTTTCCACCATCAGGGTCTTTTCAAATGAGTCAGCTTTTTGCATCAGGTGGCCAAAATATTGGAGTTTCAGCTTCAGCATCAATGAACACCTTCCAATGAACACCCAGGACTGATCTCCTTTAGGATGGACCGGTTGGATCTCCTTGCAGTCCATGGGATCAAGAGTCTTCTCCAACACCACAGTTCAAAAGCATCGATTCTTTGCACTCAGCTTTCTTTATAGTCCAATTCTCACATCCATACATGACTACTGGAAAAACTATAGCCTTGACTAGACGGACCTTTGTTGACAAAGTAATGTCTCTGCTTTTTAATATGCTGTCTAGGTTGGTCATAACTTTCCTTCCAAGGAGTAAGCAGTCTTTTAGTTTCATGGCTGCAATCACCATCTGCAGTGATTTTGGAGCCCAAAAATATAAAGTCAGCCACTGTTTTCCACTGTTTTCCCTTCTGTTTGCCATGAAGTGATGGGACCAGATGCCATGATCTTAGTTTTCTGAATGTTGAACTTTAAGCCAACTTTTTCACTCTCTTTCACTTTCATCATGAGGCTCTTTAGTTCTTCTTCACTTTCTGCCATAGGGGTGGTGTCATCTGCATATTTGAGGTTATTGGTATTTCTCCCGGCCATCTTGATTCCAGTTTGTGCTTCCTCCAGCCCAGTGTTTCTCATGATGTACTCTGCATATGAGTTAAATAAGCAGAGTGACAATATACAGCCTTTACGTACTCCTTTTCCTATTTGGAACCAGTCTGTTCCATGTCCAGTTCTAACTGTTGCTTACTGACCTGCATACAGGTTTCTCAAGAGGCAGGTCAGGTGGTCTGGTATTCCCATCTCTTGAAGAATTTTCCACAGCTTATTGTGATCCACTACAGTCACAGGCTTTGGCATAGTCAATAAAGCAGAAATAGATGTTTTTCTGGAACTCTTTTGCTTTTTCGATGATCCAGCGAATGTTGACAATTTGATCTCTGGTTCCTCTGCCTTTTCTAAAACCATCTTGAACATCTGGAAGTTCACGGTTCACAGATTGTTGAAGCCTGGCTTGGAGAATTTTGAGAATTACTTTACTAGCATGTGAGATGAATGCAGTTGTGCAGTAGTTTTGAGCATTCTTTGGCATCGCCTTTCTTTTGGATTGGAATGAAAACTGACTTTTTTCAGTCCTATGGACACTGCTGAGTTCTCCAAATTTGCTGACACGTTGAGTGCAGCACTTTCACAACATCATCTTTCAGGATTTGAAATAGCTCAACTGGAATTCCATCACCTCCACTAGCTTTATTCGTAGTGATGCTTCCTAAGGCCCACTTGACTTCACATTCCAGGATGTCTAGCTCTAGGTGAGTGATCGCACCCTCATGATTATCTGGGTTGTGAAGATCTTTTTTCATAGTTCTTCTGTGTATTCTTGCCTCCTCTTCTTAATACCTTCTGCTTCTGTTAGATCCATACCATTTCTGTCCTTTATTGAGCCCATCTTTGCATGAAATGTTCCCATGGTATCTTTAATTTTCTTGAAGAGATCTCTAGTCTCTCCCATTCTATTGTTTTCCTCTATTTCTTTGCACTGATCACTGAGGAAGGCTTTCTTATCTATCTTGGCTATTCTTTGGAACTCTGCATTGAGATGGGTATATCTTTCCTTTTCTCCTTTGCTTTTAGCTTCCCTTCTTTTCACAGCTATTTGTAAGGCCTCCTCAGACAGCCATTTTGCTTTTTTGCATTTCTTTTTCTTGGGGATGGTCTTGATCCCTGTCTTCTGTACAGTGTCATGAACCTCCGTCCATAGTTCCTCAGGAACTCTATCAGATCTAGTCCCTTAAATCTATTTCTCACTTCCACTGTATAATCATAAGGGATTTGATTTAGGTCATACCTGAATGGTTTTGTGGTTTTCCCTACTTTCTTCAATTTAAGTATGAATTTAGCAATAAGGAGTTCATGATCTGAGCTACAGTCAGCTCCCGGTCTTGTTTTTGCTGACTACAAAGCTTCTCCATCTTTGGCTGCAAAGAATATAATCAGTCCGATTTTGGTGTTGACCATTTGGTGATGTCCATGTGTAGAGTCTTCTCTTGTGTTGTTGGAAGAGAGTGTTGCTATGACCAGTGTGTTCTCTTGGCAAAATTCTGTTAGCCTTTGCCCTGCTTCATTCTGTACTCCAAGGCCACATTTGCCTGTTACTCCAGGTGTTTCTTGACTTCCTACTTTTGCATGCCAGTCCCCTATAATGAAAAGGACATCTTTTTTGGGTGTTAGTTCTAGTTAGGTACTCCTGAATCAACCTCCAAAGAGATGGAACAATTTTATATTCCTAATGGCAGCATATAAAAGTGCCTTACATGCCTGGCAATACTGAATCATCTCACTCTTTGTAATTTTTGCCAATATAATTGGTGAAATATATTTCATAGGTTTATTTTGATTTAATTTTAAACTAGAAATGAGCTTCGTTAACAGTGCTTATTGAATATTTACAATTCCTTCTCTGAAATTGTTTAGGTCCATGTTTATTTTTGTTTAAAAATTGATAATATACCATAAAATTCATCCTTTTTATATGTATAGTTCATAGATTTTTAGTAATTTATAGTGTTGTGTAACCATCACCACAATCCAATTCTAGAATATTTCCATCATTCCAAAAAGAAACTTTTTTTATTGGAGGATAATTGCTTTACAGTGTTGTGGTAGTCTCTATGGGCTTCCCAGGTGGTTCAGACGGTGGTCTCTGCTGTATATCAGCTCGAATCAGTCATAATTATATATATACATATATATACATATATCCCCTCACTCTGTAGCCTCCCTTGCCCCACATTCCACTCATCTAGGTCATCACAGAGGCCAGACTGGGCTCTCTCTTTGTTATTTACCAGTTTCCCACTAGTTACCTGTTTTACACATGATAGTGTACCTATGTCAATGCTACTTTCTCAGTTTCTCCTAGCCTCTCCTCCCCTCTCTGTGTCCACAAGTCCATTCTATATATCTGCATTTCCATTTCTTCTCTGTAAATAGGTTCACCAGTACTCCTTTCCTAGATTCCATATATATGAGTTACTATAAGAAACTTCTTATTCATTTGCAGTCAGTCCTCATTCCCATTCCAATACCCATGTAACTACCAGACTGTCTCTGTAGATTAGCTTTTTCTGAACATTT